GGCAGGGCACAGAAAATCCAGGGTATCCTGGTCCCTCCCTCACTACCACCTGAAACCTTACACCTAAAAGCGGAACTTAATACATCCAAGCTATTAGCAAGAAATTTTTAATTACTGCAACTTAAAAAAAATTCAAATTCTCAAATCTGACCATATCAAAACGTACTGCTGGTAACACATACACTAAATTTCAATACTACAGCATTTACATAAAATTTCATTTATGGGTAATACATTAGACAATTTCTAATGGCTTGTAAAAACCATCATGTTTACTGTACTGTAAGATTTTTCTGCAATACTTTTTTTTTTTTTTTTGGTTTTAGGAATACACCCGGTGGTGTTTAAGGCTTCTTCTTGGCTCTGTGCTCAGGGATCACTCCTGATGGGCTTTGGGGACCATACAGGATACAAAGGGACTGAACCAGGTCAGACACATGCAAGGTAAATGCCATACCCCACTGTACTACCACTCTGTCCCTGTATTACCTAGTTTTTGGACCTCTCAAAAACAAAAAAATAAAACTTTAAAAAATCATATAGTATAATTTAAAGGAGAGAAAAATTAATATTACACTGGTGATTCTACTATCTTGTGTAATGCCAAATTTTAGTATTTTATCCATCCTTACAGGAACTAGGAACACAGGTTAAAACTTAACTTTGCTTAGCATCTTTATATACAAGCTAAGATGAAGCTACATTTTTAGGGAATTAGATGCAAATGCTCCTATATATCAGTTAATTTCTCAAAACTGGACACCATTTCAGCCACTACTCTTTCGGCCTTATTTCCATTCTGTTTAGCTGACAGTACTGACAGATCTTAACAGATACAACACCATATGTCATAAAAATCAAAACCAGATGACATTCTGGCACAATGGTAGTTTTCTGAAGTGAGAAGCTATTTTTGTTTTGGATGGCTTCTGATAATTCAACTAGAAAAGTTTAGATAATGAAAAACAGAGTTGTCAAATTTGTCCATTCTTTCCGACTGGAATCAAGGAGCTTGTGCCTTTTACTACATACTAAATACCTCTCTGCCTATTACTCCTTCATCCACTGAGAGAAAGAATGCAATACCTAAAAACATCCTTGACACCTCATCCAGTCACTTCATTCTCCTGATGAATTTATGGGGTACCTAACTATATGCCAGGAACTCTATGAGGCATAAGTTGATCACTGGCAATAAAATCTCAATTCCTGTTCTCAAAGAATTTATAATCTACAGCATCCATTTTAACAATTACACATGTTACAAAGGTGTTAAATTTGACCCAAGGATAGTCAAGATACGTACCAGGAGGTCTGCTCCACGGCTTGGAAGCCAGTAGCACATGCTGGGGGAAAAGGCAGCTCAGATAGAGAAGGGAACACCAAGTAAACAGTGTTTGGAGGACTAGCCCGGGATGCGAGATGCATGCTGAAAGCAGACTATAGACGGAACACGATGGCCACTCAATACCTCTATTGCAAACCACAACACCGTAAAGGAAAGAGAGAGCAAAAGGGAATGCCCTGCCACAAAGGTGGGGCAGGGTAGGGGGGTATGGTGTGGGGGGATGAGAGGAATACTGGGTTCACTGGTGGTGGAGAATGGGCACTGTGGAGGGATGGGTACTTGATCATTGTATAACTGAAACCCAAGCATGAAATTTTGTAAGTCTACAACTGTACCTCATGGTATTTCACTAATTAAAAAAAAAAAGGTGTTAAATTTGGTCATATGATAATGTGTAGCAATCAGTTTTATTATAAAAGAAAACTGAGGAAAGTTTCCCCCTAAGGATGTAAAGAGCTAAAATCTGAAAGACAAACAGACATTAACTATACAGTGAATGGGAAAAGGTAGGATTTTCAAACTAAAAGAGTAGGAGCAAAGATTCCTATGTGATAGCACCATTTTGTAACTGAGTAAATGAGTTAGAACTGGGTAAATGAGTTAAAACATGAAACATTCAAAGAGAATGCACTATAAGGTTGACTTTAGTAGTAACAATCAGCTAAACTCTATCATAAAGTGATTTTTTTTCAGCCTTAGGGTCTTAAGACATCAACTCTTATTTGTTGTTTTGTTTTGGGACCCTCCCTGGCTCTGCTCAGGGCTTACCTGTGATTTTGCGCTCAGAGATTTATCCTGGCTGTGCTCATGGAATCCTATGTGGTGCAGGGGATCAAACTCAGTTCAGCTTATATGCAAGGCAAGTGCCTCACTAGCTATCCTATCTCTCAGCCCCAAGACATTAACTCTTTTAATATCCAGAATTAACCATTATAATACATAAAAATCAATTTACAGTCACCTTGAAACATTTCTGTTAGCAATGGAAAGCTTCTCAACTAAGGTCAAGGTGAGAAGAGGAATAGGGGGTTGCCTTGATTAAAACCACTATTCAAATGATAATTTTACCTGTGTAAAGAACAAACTGGCAGAAGACCAAATAAGAGGCAACTCCAGTAACTACACACAGGATACCCGATGCTAGGATAACACCTTAGACTGGAGAGGTGATGAGAAATAGATATTCCCAAGGTGAAATGACAGGACTTGGTGATAAACTGAAAGGGGATAGAAAGTTAGAGAGAAGATGATGTCTAAGGTGAGTCATACATAGTTTCTAGTTTGGGAACCAGGATGAATAGTGGTAGTCACTGGAACAGAAAAATGCTGCGAAAAAACACATTAATTAAAAAAATTAATAGGAAGCTATAACTCCTAAGTGGACAAGTACCGAATAATTAAGTAAGTAAGTAAAGGCCCTCCCGTTGTTCATCGATTTGCTCGAGCGGGCCCAGCAACGTCTCCATTGGAGATTTTGTTGTTACTGTGTTTGGCATATCAAATACGTCACAGGAAGCTTGCTAGGCTCTGCCATGCGGGCGAGATACTCTCGGTAGCTTGCCGGGCTCTCCGAGAGGGGCGGAGGAATCGAACTCGGGTTGGCCATGTTGGCTGCGTGCAAGGCAAATGCCCTACCGCTGTAAAATCAAGAAAAGAGCTTCTGGCTACTCTTTCCATTTACATTTGCAAACATATACACCTCCTTTTAAAATTCATTTTTCACTTAGCAAAATTCAAAAATAAAAAATTTAACATATGGCAATTTTATAGTTTATCTCCTGATCTCTTTTAAAAAAAACCTCTTATTACAGATTTATTCCTATTTTTACAAAAAAAGTCTGGGTTACTGTAAATAAAAATTCTCTCACTATTACCTATGTTTTATCTGGTTTGATAAAAGAAACACTCATCATACACACACACACACACACACACACATACACACACTTTAAAGTATTGCATTTATCTTAAAAGAGAAACATGAAAGTAAATTATTCTTTTCTACACTGCTGGAAAAAAAATCTGTGAATTGATGGCTAAGGTAAAATAACAGCATATAACTGGGTATTAAGTCAAATGAAGGTTATTATGATTCAATTAAGTTATTTTCGTTTTTGAACCTTTGGTGGTTTTCTTAGTTTGCTTGAAATTTATCAAGTGTGAATAAAATCTACCTCCCAGTTTTATGGTGGAAATTATACTCTTTTTGGAAACCTTTTTCTTTTATGATATTGAAATCTCTACAAAAATAGTACTATTATAAACTTTTAAAAATCTAACAAGTATATAGAATGCTCAGATCCATTATAATCAGATCTACTGATGATATGATTTTCTTGAAAAGCCAAATAAATTGAAAAGGACTAAGGAAAGTACTCAGCATTGGAACATAACAATTATATATAACACACCTGGAATATGTAATAAAGCAAAAGGGTCTTCAAGTCTAGGAAACAGTGATGTTACTATCATTGTTAGTTCTATTCTGTCCTATTCATTCTGTTCTTCTATAAGAAAGACCTTTGAGAAAAACCGAAAGTATTCTCTTAAAAACATAACCCATTCATTTCAATGTAGTCATCAGACCTTTGCTTTCCATCTAAGGCTATTACAAAGCTTTAGGGTAGTAACACGGTTTAACATTTTTAAATACGTTGATGTAAAATTGTTAATAAACACTTTGATTTGTTCATTGCTTATTCCTCAACTCCCCAGGCAGAGGGCTTTTGTTTTTAAACAATTTCAAAGAAAATGCATGTTACAGAAAAAGACGGTAAAAATGTCAGAAGTATGTCTAATAAACTCTACTCACTCTAACACTTAATGTAAATGGAGTGTGTACTTTCACCTAAAATACAGGAAGGCTATGTAAGTCATGCCAAACAAGCCAAGCACCAAAGTGTCATAACATGGTTAAAAAATTTCAAGTATCTTAAAGAAAGAGTAACCAAGATGTTTCATAGTCTACCTTGTATATATTTATGTTTAAGAATGTGGGTTTAAAAATAGATCCCACTTAGTTTAATTCTATCAGAAATATATTGTAAGCCATTAAAAGTCTGTTAAACACTCATATACTCTTACATCATAGTGCATGATTAAAATCCTCTTTTAAGTGGATTGCAAGCTTAAGAATCCCTAGAAAATAGAATTATAATTTATCAATTACTCTTAATATATAAGATTATATAAGACACACAGCACTTTAATCAAAACTACCTTTAAAAATTCAGTATATGTAAACACACAATATGATAATACAAGAATGGTAAGAAATTGCTTCTGTATAGGAAAAGAAAATTTTCTCTGAAAAAAACACTCCTTATTAAATAAAATTGGAGGTAAAGAAATAATATAAATAGTATTAATTAAAATTCTTATCATTACAAATGCTGCCCAGTTTAGCTGGATGATTAAATTACTTTAGCTTCTAATAATTAATGTTTAAGGAATGTACAGAAATGCTTTTTAAATTAGTTGGCCATATATTCTAATGTTTTGTTTTCTTACGGCTTGTGCTTTTATTTTTTTAAATCTATACCATCTTTTTATTAAAAGTTATAGCTTCAACTTATACAGTTTATCCATTATTTAATATGAACCCTCCCCCAATACACACACACATTTCAAATTACTATATAATTCAATTGGGTGATTTTTCAGATTTTCAAACCCAGCAATTATAATTTATTTTGGACTTTTTACAATAATTAAATATAGATTTTAGTACATAATTTGAATAACATTTAACTGTAACCATTCTTTTATTTTACAGTAACCCTAAAAGCATTTGGATTTTTGTAAATAATACTAATTATTAACAACAGTGATAAATAAATTCAACAATCTGTGGGAACAATTCAGGTTCTCATTTCTGCTCTTCAAAAACGCTCAGTGTGATATCAAAATGAGGGAATGATATCTTTTCATTAGGTGTGTACTGATTTTATAATATATGCTAACTCCCCCCATATCATACCAATTTAAAAGAAGGTTAAGCCCCAAAATATAACATAACTGAAAACTAGTAATGCCTATACCCTAAAACTTTCTAAACTGGCTTAGTAATAGTCACCACTTCACTCCACTTCATTTTGTTATCACTTCATGAAAAAAAGTCTTCTTTCCACTCAATAATGCCACATTGTAAATATAACCTCCATGGAGCACAGCTATAATCTGAGCTGCTGACTCCCTTCCTTCTGCTATTCAACCGTCATCTTCTTTAAATGATGAAGAAGGGCATCTTTTTCTATGTGAGCCTCTGCAAGAGCCATTTTGGCTTTAGCCAACTCTTGTTTAAGAGATTCATTCTCTTCTATGAGCTGAAATAAATTAGAAAAATGAGAGATTTAGACATTTCCATAAAATATAAGCTACTTAATATAGACAATATCAAAAGGTGTGACATTCCAGACAGTAAAATTAGCCAATGCCACTGAGGGGAGAGATAAGCTAAAAATTGCTATAAGAAATTATTTGGGGCTGGAGCGATAGCACAGCGGGTAGGGCGTCTGCCTTGCACGCAGCCAACATGGCCAACCCGAGTTCGATTCCTCCGCCCCTCTCGGATAGCCCGGCAAGCTACCGAGAGTATTCGATATGCCAGACACAGTAACAACAAAGTCTCCAATGGAGACGTTACTGGGCCCGCTCGAGCAAATTTGAGATTAGTCCCAGGAATTTTGCTCCATGACTTGGAGGCCAGCCACACGTGCTGGGGGAAAAGGAAGCTCAGATAGAGAAGAGAGCACCAAATAAAGGGTGTTGGGAGGATCCTCCCAGGGTGGGAGAAGCATGCTGAAAGTAGACTATAGACCAAACATGATTGCCACTCAATGCCTCTCTTGCAAACCACCGGACCCAAAAGGAGAGAGAGAGAACAAAAGGGAATGCCCTGCCACAGAGGCAGGGTGGGATGGGGGGGTGGGGGTGGGAGAGATGCTGGGACCCGTGGTGGTGGAGGATGGGCGCTGGTAGAGGGATGGGTACTTGATCACTGTATAACTGAAACCCAAGCACAAAAATTTGTAAGTCTGTAACTGTACCTCATGGTGTTTCACTAATAAAAAAATTAAAAAATAAATAAAAATAAAATTAGATGAATACTGCTAATGCAAAAGAAAAAAAAATTTGAAAGTTCCTATCCTACCAAGAGCTTTAAAATGCTCACGAAATTTGACACAAAAATTTAAAATAATTATCTCCTATTTTGAAATCTAATACTGATTTTTGTTTAATTTCAATTTCCTTGGAACTCTGTGTGCTGTTAGTTACTGCTGACCTCTCTCCTCCTTTCTTCCCTTTGGTTTTTGAACCCTGGTTGGCTGCGTGCAAGCCAAGTGTTCAACCCACTGTATTATTTCTCTGGTCCTAAATAATTTTTTTTGCTAGTTGTGGAGGCCACACAGTGGTGCTCAGAGACCCATGCAATGCCAAGGATTGAACTCAGGGTCTTGAACAAATAAAGCACATGTTTTTTCATTTAAACCACATTCACAACTGTCCTATTTTTTTCTTCTTCTTAAATTATCAGTGTTTTAGAGCCAGGAAAGAAATCCAGAGCTTCATACATGTTAAAGAGGTGCACTGCAGATTACATTATACTTTTGGTGTTACTATAATTAAAAAAAAACAATGAAGCATATGTAGCAATATGGGAAAATGTTAAAGCAAGCTATGTTTAAAAACAAGCATAAAATAGAATAGCTGAAAATTTAATGTAAAAGATCTCAAGAGAACAAAAGGAATAAACTTTAAAATTTTTAAATAATGATAGGAGGGGGCTGAGAGGACAGTAAAGGGGCTATCCCCGTGGCTCAAGTTCCAACCCTACCATTCATACGGCCTCCAGAGAACCACAAGAAGAGCACCCTGGAGGCCTAGAGCACAGCTGGTGCTTCCTAACTGCCTGATGGTCTGGCCACATTCTGGCATCCTAGCACTGAACCACTGGTCCCATTGCTCAAGTATCAAGGGAAATGGCCTCTAGACCACATGAGCACTACCTTATGAGACTTAGGTAGAAAAATAGAACAAAAAATGATAGCACTATAAATTAGATGCATTAGAGTTGTTTTAAAATCTTTTTTTAATGTTAAAAACACTATCTTGCAACTTTAAAAGTATTAAGTAAGTATTTCCACCAGGAAGCTTTCCTAGATTCTAGGCACTAATTTATCTCCATCTAATCCTCTATTTTTCCTAAGTGAGGGTTGGTAATGTTCTTCTCTTGCTCTACATGATACATACAGCATCTATAAAGTGCTGCACAGTTAATGAGCATGCTATAAACATTTAAATAAGCAAATAATGTAAAGCTTTAAAGATTATCCAATATGTATCTTAACTGCTAAAACTGAAAGACAATAAATTAGTTTTCTCATTACCTGTTCCCTAGTAAAGTCGAAGGCATATTCAGGAAAATTTCTTCCTTGAGAAGGCCAAGGAAGTTCTGGACTTGTCTGAGTAGCTTGCGTGACACACTGCTGTTTCTTCAAATCATACTTTTTACCAGTGATCAACAATGAATCACTTTTGTCATTTTTTTTCAACTCATTTCCAGTGGGAAGCATGTGAGAATCTGATCAAAGAAAAGGACACGCTTAGATGACATTTCCATAATGTTTAATATCTAATAAACCTCATAGTTCTGTTACAGAAAAACAATTTTTAAAACAGTATCTATGAGCATGATATAATAGTCAAAAAAATATGAATAAAATTGACAAATCTCTAACAGTCTCTGAGAGTTGACCTACAGCACTAAGTTTGCCAAGAGGGTGGAATGAGGAGTGGAAGGGGCCGAGACACCATGGAAGGATGCTGGCATTCTACATTAAAACACTGTATGCAAATGTAATGAAATATAGTGAACTACTTTATAAAATATAAAAAATATAAATAAAAATAATAAAACACTGTGCCTGAGCCAGAGCAATAATACAGTGGGGAGGGCATTTGGCTTGCATGTGGCCCACCTGGGTTTGATTCCCAACACCCCATATGGTCCCCGGAGCTTGACAGAGTGATCACTGAGTGCAGCATGAGGACTAAGCCCTGAGCACTGCTGAGTGTGGCCCTAAAATAAATAAATAAATAAATGAATAAAACATTGTTCTTAAAACTTTGCCAACAGTATTGTAAATCATAGTGCTTACGCTACTGGCCGAGCAAGTGAAAACAGAGATAGATAAATGGGACTATCTTAACTAAGAAGCTTCTGCACCTCAAAAGAAACAGTGACCAAAATACAAAGACAGTCTACAGAATGGGAAAGGATATCCACCGAATACACATCTGACAAGGGGTTGATATCAAGGATATATAAAGTACTGGTTGAACTCCACAAGAAGAAAACATCCAACCCCATAAAAAAAATGGGGCAATGAAATGAACAGAAACTTTCTCAAAGAAGAAATCCGAATGGCAAAAGGGCACATGAGAAAATACTCTACATCATTAATCATCAGGGAGATGCAGATCAAAAGCACAATGAGATACCATCTCACACCTCAGAGACTGGCCCACATCCAAAAGAACAAAAGCAATCAATGCTGGCGTGGATGTGGCGAGAAAGGGACACTCCTTCACTATTGGTAGGAATGCCAACTGGCTCAGCCCTTTTGGAAAACAGAATGGACGATTCTCAAAAAATTAGAAATTGAGCACCCATTTGACCCAGCAATACCATTCCTGAGAATATATCCCAGAGAGGCAAAAAAAAATAAAGTCGAAGTGACATCTGCACTTGTTCATTGCAGCACTCTTTACAATAGCCAGAATCTGGAAAAAAACCTGAGTGCCCAAGAACAGATGACTGGTTAAAGAAACTTTGGTACAGCTACACAATGGAGTACTATGTAGCTGTTAGAAAAGATGAAGTCATGAAATTTACATACAAGTGGTACTACATGGAAAGTATCATGCTAAGCGAAATGAGTCAGAAAGAGAGGGATAGACACAAAAAGACTGCATTCATCTGGGGGACATAAAGTAACAAATAGGAGATTAATACCCAAGAATAGCCGAGATCAGTACCAGGAGGATTATTACATGGCTTAGAGGCCAGTCGGGCATTCTAGGGGAAAGGGCAGCTCAGATAGAGAAAGAAGCACCAAATAAAGGGTGTTTGGAAGATTCTCCCAGGATGGGAGATGCATGTTGAAAGTAAAACATGACTGCCACTCAATGCCTCTTTTGCAGACTACAACACCCAAAAGGAGAGAGAGAACAAAAGGGAATGTCCTGCCACAGAGGCAGGGTGGGATGAGGGGGATGGGGGTGAGAGGGATACTGGGATCCATGGTGGTGGAAAATTGGCACTGGTGGAGGGATGGGTATTTTATCATTGTATAATCGAAACCCAAGTCTACAACTGTACCTCATGGTGTTTCACTAAAATTAATAAAAAAAAATCATAGTGCTTAGAGAAAAATCAAAAATTGATAAATATTTTGTAAGACTGGGGAGGGAGGGAGGGAGGGAGGGAGGGAGGGAGGGGAGAGGAGAGGGGAGGGCAGGGGAGGGGAAGGAGGGAGGGAGGGAGAGGGGAGGAGAGAGGGAAGGAGGGAGAGGGGAGGGGAGGGGGGAGGGAAGAAATCACTAGAACCAGAAATAAAGAGAAGAGGAAAAGAAGAAATGAAGTATATAAGGGGAAACGAAATGGCAAGCAGAAAGAAGAGGGTTGACATACAAATGGAGATAAGGAAAGAAACAGAAGGGAGAAATAGGAAGAGAAAGAATGTGAGGAAGAGGCAGAAGGAAGAAAGAAGGTAACAAGATAGAGGGACGAGAAGAAAAAGTGTGTACGATAGAAGACACCAGAGGGTGTTACAGAAAAACATTTCCTTGTATTGGCAAGAAAGCACTTCTTTCAAGTTTCTAGAACAAACTTCAGGGAACAAACTCAACAATGAAATATGCAGAAACATACAGCTATCACTGAGTGTACACTTTGTAACTTATTTTCTAGCTTTTGATTATGGTCGGTCATTCAACCTGTCTAAAGTCAATTTCTTTGTGTACAAATGAAGGTGAAAAGAATAGCTGCCTTAGCTATCACAAAGTATTAAGAAATAAATGAATTAATTTGGGGAGGAAAACCCTTTATATGGTCGATAGGACAGTTCAGTAGTAGAGACTTGTGGCGCCCTGAGCTTTGCTGGATACAACCCTGGAGGACCCCAAGTACCACCAGGCATGGTCCTAGAGGCCCCAAGCACTGCTGAGATAGACCGTGTATCCCTGGCACCAAGACCCGAGCAGTCCTGCATCCTAAAGGCCTGGCACAGATATTTTGAGCATCTCTCAAATATTCTAAAATTCTTAGTAACCACTGGAGGTATCTGATAAGTATCTGACTTTAAATCTTTAAATACAGGTTATATGCTTTTCCACTCTAGCGATCTCTCTCTCTCTCTCTCTCTCTCTCTCTCTCTCTCTCTCGCTCGCTCTCGCTCTCCCCTCTTACTTAAAAACTTACAGGAATAATATTTAAATTGAAATTACATATAAAATTATATTTATATTTCTATTTAAGTCTCTTAGGTTAAATAATTTTTAAAAAAACAATTCTTGCTGCATTTCCAGAAAGGAAGCATTATGGCAATGCTTCTAAGGGTATTTACGGCAAAGAGTTGCTCATAGGACTTTTTTTTTATGGTTACTATTAATTTTTATTAATATTTTTATTATATTTATTTATTTTTTAATAGTGAGGCATCATGAGGTACAGTTGTAGACTTACATATTTTTGTGCTTGGGTTTCGATTATACAATGATCAAACACCCATCCCTCCACCAGTGCACATTTCCCACCACCACAGATCCCAGCATCCCCTCCGCCCCCCCAGCCCCGATCCCACCCTGCCTCTGTGGCAGGGCATTTCCCTCTCTCTCCTTTTGAGTGCCAACTCATAGAACTTTTAAACATCCAATGTGCCTCTTCCCCACAACATTTTGATGCACTCCCATCTAAATGAAAATCAATGCCACAATGGATTACTGTTCCAGCTGGCAACAAGCCAGGTGGTAGGTGTGCTTCGAGGAGGAAAATATTGAGAGCCAATATGCTATTGGAAAGTAATAAACAACAGATGCTACCCCCTCCCACACCCACCATTTTCTGTTATTACTTATTAGTAATCACAATAGTTACCACACATAAACACATACACACACATACACACCCATTATCTACTCTGTCTCTTACTAGTGATCACAGTAATAGTTACCCAATTAGCTTTACTTCACTAAAAGAGGAGGAAGTCACAGTGTACCTTGGCAAATTTCTGAAAAATTATTTGAAATTTTCCTTTAAAATCTTTACAGGGTAGGGGACGAAGTTCAACACACAACTTCATATGTGCGAGGCCCGGGTTTAATCCCCAGCACTGCAACAACAAAGAAGTCTGTACTGAAAATTAAGTAACTATTTTAAAGGTTTTCACAGTGTGAAGTACTATAGTAAGCACAAAATAATTAAAAAGTGCCTACTCCTTCATGATGGACTTCAATTATATCCACAACAGCTATCTGTATTGGTGCATTCCATGTACTAGGATTTTATCGAGGCCCTCTGCATCCATGTTTGTCACCAATACTGATTTAAATTTCTCTTTTTAAGTACTATCTGAGCTTTTGGTACCAAAGTAATGTTGGTCTGGTCTCAGTGGGGTCATAGACACTTAAAAGGGGGTAGAGCGTTTGCCTTGCACACATGTGATCTGGGTCCAATCCTGAGCAACCTGAGAAATGTCGAGAGTGATGCCTGAGCACAGAGCCAGGAGTCAGCCCTGAATACCACCCCAGCAGGTATAGCCCCAAAACAAAAACAAAAAGTCATGTTGATCTCATTCCAGTTTCTTCTATTTCTGGAGGAGCCTGAGAAGAATGGATAGACAGTAGGCCATTCACCTCTAAAGATTTGGAAAAATTCACTAGTACATACACTTGGTCTTGTGCTTTTGTTCTCAGGGAGATTCTGGGTAACTGTTTCGACTTTCTTGATAGCAAGAGGTCTATTCAAATTTTCTACTTCTTCCTGACTCAGTCTCAGAGGATGAAGACTCCAGAAGTTTATCCATCTGTTTCTTCTTCTCCACCCCCTCCCTCTGCCCCTCTTCCTCCTCTTCCTCCTCCTCCTCCTCCTTCTTTTTCGTTTCTTTGCCATACCCAACTGTGCTCAAGGCTCACTCCTGTCGGTGCTCAGGCAACCATATGCAGTGCCAAGAATCAAACCTGGGTTTGGTTTGGTCCAAGAGAAGTGCTCTATCCACTGCACTTTTATCTCTCACCCCAGAAATTTTTCCTTTTTGTCTTCCTCTTTGACTCAATAGTTGTTCAGTAGTTTATTGTTCAAATTCCAAGTATTTGAGTTTTTCCCAAATTTCTCTGTGGTGTATTTCCAGTTCCAGAACATTTTAATCCAAGAGGATGCTTGATCTGATTTGATAAAGACCTGCTTTGAGTCGTAGCACATGGCCAACCTTGCAATATGTTCCATTAGCACTGGGATAGAATGTGTGCTCAGCTTTTTGGAGAAGAGCCCTCAAAATGTCAATTAAGCACATTTCTTTTATCTTTTTAAGGCTGCTGTTTCCTTACTGATTATCTGTCTGATTGACTATCCATTGTTGAGAGTATGGTATTACATGTGGATCTCAATTTTTTTCCTTTGGTGAGCCTAATTTGTATAATCAAAATTAAGAACCAATATACATTACTGTATATATTGTATATACTATTAAATATACATCATTGCAAGTGTTCAGTCTTTCTGGTATACAGATTCTTTGATCATTACATAATGTCCATCTCTATTAACTTTTTAAATTAAAGCCTATTTTGTCTGATAAAGTAACTGTTCCTACCCTCCTTTTTATCCAAGTGTCTGGAACTCTCCTATATGGTCTTCTCCAATTCACTGTTACTCTGAAATAGTCCATCCACTCTACCACACCGTACCCTAAATTGGTATTGTAGCCTATAATCCAGGGCCAAGAATTTCCTATTGTTTGATACTTTTTCCTTGATCTGGGGGCAATCTGGTGGTGCCTGGGAATGGGTGCCTGGTGGTGTCACAGGGATAGAGGAGGCTTATGCTGCAGTTCCTGAGAAATCTCCTTGGTTCCCATCTCAATATTCTTAAAAAATTCTCCTTTTCCTGTATAATTGGTTAGAGAATGTTTTTGCTTATAATAACACTGCTAGAACTATTTTCTTCAAAAGAATTCTTTGGTGCATAGTTACTCATTTTCTTTCGTTTTGCAGGGGAGAAGGGAGATGTGGGAGTTAATCAATACCCACCCTAGTGCTCCATGGTGCTCCCAGCAGCTTTGGGGAGCATGCAGTGCTGGGAAGTGAAGCCAGCACTGCTGCATGCAAAACTGCACTCCAGCCCAGGCATCTAGTGAATTATGTGGAAGGAGGAAAACTGCTGCTGCTGGGTAAGAGATACTACCTTTGTCAACTGGGTATGATCCTTCCCTTATGGGGCTTAAGAGCAGCAGAATCTCCTTTCACTGTTGTATCCATAGGAAAATTCCTTGAAGCCTACTAGTAGGTAGTGGCAGAGAAGGGGATCTCAAAAAGCCGTGACTAAATTATTTCCATGGTCTCAGTATCCTGGTGGTACGGCTTCTCTTGCTCTTAAGGAGGAACAGACTCGGTCTTCTGGTCCCGCTGCTCTGATCTTGACAATGACACAATATGGCCTATTTAATTAACCAGTTCAGGAAAAGAACCCAGGTGCATGACTTTGGTATAAAGCCTTGTATGCAAATGGGGCACACTCTCTAATAAAACCTGCAATACTGGAATCTAGATCATTTGGGAGAGACTCAAAGAGCAGATCTGTCTTCCCAAAGACTGAAGCTACCCTATCCGTGCGAGTTTTAGTAATGAACTGACATTTTGATCTTCATTGGTCTGACTTCTATGGATGCTCCAGCTGGTCCCAAACTCCAGAAAGACCCATCAGTTAAGCATTCCCTACAGACACATCCCACAGCTACCAGCACGCAAACAACTGCCCAGCTTCACAGCTTCATGACCAATTTCAGAAGAGATGCCACTGAAAATCACGCTGGTCTTTGGGCTGAAAACTTTGGGGCACCCTCAGGCGGGGGGCAGACTGAGTCCCCACCCTGCCAAAGCCCCAACAGGCACACCCATAGCCAACTGCTGCCGCAGTGCAATGGCCCAACTTCACTGCTTTTGCAGAGATGTGAAGCTGACATAATTTTCAGGGACCCAGGTTTGGGGGCTAAAAATTCTGTGATTTTTCTTGGCGTAGGGGAGGGCAACTACCCCTCTCTCCTCCCCGCCTACCTCCACTGAGACCCCCAGCAGACATGACCACATCCCACAGCCAAAACCATGTAAACAAGGCTTCAGCGCTTCACAACTAATCTTGGAAAAGATGCAAGACAAGTCCCTGAAACTACAACAACCAGCTCAGAAAACCCTCAGAAAATGACTTTAATAACTCCTTTGTGGGGGCTGGAGCGATAGCACAGCGGGAAGGGCGTTTGCCTTGCACACGGCCGACCCGGGTTCGATTCCCAACATCCCATATGGTCCCCTGAGCACCGCCAGGAGTAATTCCTGAGTGCAGAGCCAGGAGTAACCCCTGTGCATCGCCAGGTGTGACCCCAAAAATAGAAAAAATAAATACATAAATACAATAAATAAAATTTAAAAAAAAATAAATAACTCCTTTGTGATGTACGATAATTTTCACAAATTTTCTTTTACTTAAGTATTTTCCAGTAATTCTATTACCATTTTGCTGTAACAAGCAATATAAAATCAATTTTGTTGTGCTTGCTAAGGGGACAGGTTTTGGGGGATGGATGGGAATCTGGGGACAATAGTGGTGGAATTGGTGCTGGAACACTGAATGTCCGAAACAATTGTACTCTGAACAACTTTTTAAACCAAATTTTTAAAAAAGTTAAAATATAATTCCCTACACAGGGGCCAGGGAGATAGTAAAGAGGTAGGGTGCTTGCCTTGCATATGGCCAACCCAAGTTCAATCCCCAGCATCCCATATGGTTTCCCACCAGGAGTGATTACTAAGCCTTAGTTAAATGGAGGTCATGTTCTTGCCTTGCATGCAGCAGATCCCAGTTCACTCCTAGGTGCCACATGGTCCTCCAAGCACCACAGGAGAGACCCACAAGCACAGAGGCACAAGTAGTTTCCAAATACAAACAGGTGTGGCCCAGAAACCAAAACACAAGAATTCCCTAACAATATATACTAACTCAACAATAGCACTTTTTTCAATAGGTTTGATATATCATTTTCTTGTTTTGACTCTTTGTTTTGCTTTCTGGTTTTGAGCCTTTAAGAGTTTTAGACACTGTGGTAAAGGTAAAGGTAAAGGCCCTCCCGTTGATCGTCGATTTGCTCGAGCGGGCCCAGTAACGTCTCCATTGGAGACTTTGTTGTTACTGTGTCTGGCATATCGAATACTCTCGGTAGCTTGCCGGGCTCTCCGAGAGGGGCGGAGGAATCGAACTCGGGTCGGCCATGTTGGCTGCTTGTAAGGCGAACGCCCTACCCGCTGTGCTATCGCTCCAGACACTGTGATGGTACTTATTTACCTTCTGCTGTACTGTTATGACTTAATTCTTCTTTCAACTTACAGCACTGAGGGTTTTGATTATGAGATGACACAGATACAGGATAGATAGTCCCTCATATTTCACTCTCAAGTTGCTGCTAACAAGTGAAGACTAGACCACCTAAGTCTAATGACCCAATCACTTTCTATTAGTATGTTAAAGATCTTCAGAAAATTTTAAGAATAGAAACATAAATATTAAAAAATAAATGTATACACAGCAATATACTGCAGATAACAAATGTATAAAGAATGACAATACCTGGGCACTTATTCTATAAAATCACATCAGGTTATAGAAAAGTTGAAGAAGTTGAAAAAGTTCTTAATGAACTCAGAATGCTCATTCACAGTTACAAGGAGAAATAAAAGGGAAAAACCAAACAAAGAAATGGAAAATCCTAGGACAAATTCTATTATAGTGAGTGTATAATACTGGTTACATAAAAACAGACATACATACACACACATACACACACATATATGTAGACACACATATGTGATTAATAAGAAAAAAGCAACTAAGAGATCCAACTAAGATCAAGAGGTATCTAAGATGAGGGAGGTCTTTTTCAGTTTCCAACATGTTTGTAAAATAATTGCTTAACCAAAATATAGATGCGATACCACAGGGCAGAGGCCCAGCCATAGACATTTCATGACAATGTACTAAAATGTCCTTAATTAGCTGCAACTGCATATGTACAAAGAAAATAAACAACAAATATATGTAAAGTAAAATAACATGCATGCAAATAATTTCAATATAAATTTCAGTAAATTTTCATTCAATTATTTGGATATATACCTCTGATATGGAAAGAGCCATCGTCATTTCTCTCTACCACAAGATGGTCAATATGAAAGGTTACAGGAGCTGGTTCAAAAGATACAGTACTACCACGAGGGCTATCATCCTACAGCAACGAGATTGAAATGTGGTCATTAAAGTAACAAAATAATCTTTTTTTAAAACATGATTTTAAACAACATTTTTTTGGGGGGGAGGGTGCTGGGATTTACTCCTAGCTTTGTGGTCAAGGATCACTCCTGGAAGGGCTCAGAGGACCAGGTCGGCCACATGCAAGGCAAACACCCTACTATGCTGTATTACCATCCCAGCACGTTTATATACTTTAATTGATGCAGTGAGAAAACTTCTCATTCTGCTTTATTTTCTATTTCTGAAAGCATTCCTATCATCACAATATCCAATAAATTCGAATAAATGCTGATGTTAATCTTGTAGGGAAGCATATTCTTAGATGTGAGTCAAAGTCCAGGGTCAGAGAGATTGCTTAATGGTCTAAGCATAAACTTCTTGCTTTGTAGGCAAGAAGCCTGTTCAATCCCTAGCACCACAAAGCACTACACAGAACCAGAAGCTGTCCCTGAGCACAACCAGGAATGGCTCCAAAACTGAAAAAATGGGGAGGGTTTCAGAGAGACAGCAAATGGATTAAGGTGCTTGCCTTGCATGTGGGTGGCAAATGCTGGCTGATCCCCAATGTGATATGGTCCCCCAAGAACCACGAGAGGGCACAGAGACAAGAATTGATCTTAAGCGCCAAAGGGTGTGGCCCCAAAACACACCTCTGCCCCCTGAAAGGAGTCAAGGTAAGCTAAAAAGTAATTATAGCATTAACATATGAAACAATAACATACTTTTAAATTTATTTTTGTGTTAGAAACTTGTATTTTCATTGGCATCACTGTTGCAACAGTTTCATCTTCTAAAAAATGTTGAATATTTAGAAGAGAAGACGTAAGAAACTCAGTGCAAAAGTTTTCTATATGGCATTGCAGAAATCCATTTTTTTCTGCAAGTAGAGAGTGTATTACAGCACCAGGCCCACTTTCAAATCTCAGAGTAACCTCAGGAGATTTGGAATGAGTCACCGTTCTGTGGTCCAAACCTATGGAAAAAGAAAACAGAGAAATTATTTTTTAAAAAATTACTTGGTTATGCCAATAAAAAAAGGTTAGTGTCACTTTGCATATTAAAGCAATAACAAAGCTCTATACTTAGCTTCAATTTAAATAAGATTTAGGGGCTGGAGAGAGAGTACAGTAGGTAAGGCGCTTTCCTTGCATGTGGCCGACTGGAGTTCAATCCCGGGCATCCTTTATGGTCTCCTGAGTACCAGCAGAAGCAACTCCTGAGTGCAGAGCCAGGACTGACCCCTAAGCATCACTGGGTGTGACCAAATAATTTAAAAATAAATAAAAAATAAAAATAAGTGAGATCTACAGGGGCCAGGGGTAAGCCCTGAGCACCACTGGGTGTGGCCCAAAAAGCAAAAAAATAAATGAATGAATAATAAGATTGATAATAATAAACATTTCTAGTACATATACAACATATCATACACAATCCAAATTTCCATTTTTACAACCTTGTACAACATAATGCTGATTGTTCCATATTTTTCTATTTTTCTTGTTTTGTTTCCCTAGGGAAAAAACATGCTATGATATAATTTTCCTATGATAAAAGAATGTACCTGAATATGTACCCATATATACATTTGAAATAAAATGGAAAAAACTAAAGTTATGTATTTCCTATGGTGGACAGGCAAATAGCACATCTATCTTTAATTCTCAGTCTAAGACTGAGAGTATACTTATCCAATATCAAGCATGTTTGTATGTATTTCAGGATACTTTATATCAGATACAGCATTCCAAGTATAGAGGAAAGAAAGAAATCATAGGCTGAAGTGATAGTGCAGAGGGTACAGCACTTGCCTTGCACATAATCACCTGAGTTGGATCCCTAGCATCCCATGTGGTTTCTCGAGCCTGTCAGGAATGATTCCTAAGCACAGAGGCAGGAGTGAGCCCTAAGCATAGCAGAAAAAAATAAAGCTCAGCTCAATGGACTGGAACACATGCTTTGCATGTATTTATACAAAAGGTCCAAATTTGCCACCCAAGTACCTCTAGAGTGGCCAGGAGCATTCCTGAGCTCTGCCAGGTGTGGCACAAACACCAAAGAAAAGTTTTTTTTCAATGAAATAAAAAGATCTTTAGGCAGAAGACATAGCACAGGTGTTAAGGTGCTTGCCTTGCGCACCGCCAACCCAACTTTGATCCCTGGCACTGCATATGGTTCCCTAGCATGGCCAGGAGTAGGCCCAAAACACCACATGGTATGGTACCAAAACCAAAGTTTAAAAGATTTAAATTTTTTTTCATTATTCGAAATCTTTAGTATAACTATTCTAATGAACTTGTTTCTTCAAATGTAAGCAATGCCTCACAACTCCATATAAATTTTGAAACAAGGATGGTTAATGTGGATTCGCCTCTATACACTGTTTTTGCTGCTTAGACATTTCTATTGTGTCCAAACCAATCAGGAATACAGGGTACCTGATCATGACAAGAAATAATCACATATGAATTACAAAATAGAAAAACTGTACTTATTCCAGTATGGAATTAAATTTAATCTTCTAGGATTACTTCCTAATTCTTTTCATATATAAAAAAAGCTCAGTTTTCTCAAACCTAATATAGAATTTTAAGACTAGGACTGATAATGGAGTTCATCAGTAGAGCACTTGCCTTGCATGTATAAGGCCCTGGGTTTGATCCCCAGTAGCACATAATAAAAAAGAATGTTAAGATTAAAGATGAAAAAGAGGGCTGGACCTGCCACAGACATAGGGTAGGGTGGGGGATGGGGGATGGGAGGGATACTGGGATCATTGGTGGTGGTGAATGGGCACTGGTGGAGGGATGGATATTTGATCATTGTATAACTGAAACCCAAACACAAAAATTTGTAAGTCTACAACTGTACCTCATGGTATTTCACTAAAAAAAAAAAAAAAAAAAAAAAGAGGGCTGGAGAGAAGACTACAGCTGATAAGGCACTTGCCTTGCATGCAAACAACCTGGGTTTGATCCCCAACACCAATATTCTCCTATGGACCTGAAAAAAAGTGATACTTGAGCCTAGTCAAGAGTAAGCCCAGAGTACAGATGGGACTGCAACCCAATCTCCCACCTCAGCCCATCCTATCCCCTTCCCCCGTGCTGGGGGTGGGGAGGAAGGAAAGAATTAAAAGTATGAACAAAGAAAAATTTGCAAAAGATCTCCAAATTATGTTTCTATGATGAAAATACTTTATGAAAATAAGAACAAATCTCTTATATTACTAAAAATGCACTTTCCTAAATTCAATTATACTAAATATATAGAATTACAGATGAGTAATATGTATAAAAATAACAGAAGTTTAACTCATATAATGGCTTACCTACTGGACGATTACAAAGGTAATGCCGAAGGCTTATATTGCCTAACTCATCTGGTGTCACTTGGTTCACTTGAAGACAGATTTCAGTATCTTCGCCTCGGATGTCAATCTCCCCATTAACACCAGTGATTTTAAACACCACAACAGACATCTATTAATCGTAATATAAATAGTATTAGTATACTAATAACTGAAACCATTTATGAAATAACAGGAAATCACTGTAACAGCTACAAGATCATTGTGACTTAATAAATGAGAAAAAAAGAAAAACTTAAGACCAACAGAAAACACTGATGGTTGGGCTGAAGTAATAGTATAGTGGGTAGGGCGTTAGCCTTGCATGCAGCCAACCTGGGTTTTATTCCCGACACCCCAGGTGGTCCCCCAAGCACCACCAATATTGATCCCTGAGCACAAGAGCCAGGAGTAAGTTCTGAGCATTGCAGGGTATGACACTCCCACCACCCATCAAAAAAAATTATCAGAGTGTAAAATCTCCAAATTTCTGGTTTTTTTTTCTTCTCATGCACTTGAGATAAGAACTTTCATTTTAAGACACAAAAAACAATAATAAAAAAAGAATCATAAGAGAGTTTCATATGTAATTATTTTCATGAAAATTGGTGGTCATCGAAAAGACTACTTCAGAGAACCCAATTGCCACCATGCTCACGCAATCTCCGCAGGCTCAGGATTAGCCTCATCCATGAGAGAAATCTGCTGAAAAACTCAGGTATGCAGATTTTGTGACTCAAATCTCCAGGTTCTCATGGAATTAGGGATAGGCAATCTCCCCCATCTCTCTGCACTTCCAGGAGGCCTGGCAATGACATTTGAACTGCCTCTGGCCCCCAGAGACACACAAATAAATTTTGGAATAAAGCAACATGCTGCAGAAATGCCTCTGGACCCCAAAGTTATCAACCAGTTACAACCTTAACTTTAGCTCTGTCACCTTATTTAGTATTTTAGAATTCCTGAAGTGACATCTCATACATGTATGACACTCCACTGATGTATCAAGAGTGTCACACAATATTTGATGGGATATAAAGTAGAAGGGATTCAATCTCAATCAAAAAAATAAAATTAATACACAAGGCTCAACCTATAACAACATGTTAGTAATCTCTTATACAAGGGCTTAATGGCTCCACAGTGAGCTACAATCTTCACATACTTTTCCCTAAAGGTGCTTTATGAATCATTTTTAGTGGATTATTCATAACAAGCAATACAAAATAAATTATTTAGGACCTTCTTTGGGGGCAGGTTTGGGTGGTGGTGGGAATTCAAAATAATGATGGTGGTGGAATTGGTATTGCACTACTGAATGCAATAAATTGTTAACAACTTTATAAAAATAAAATAAAAAAAAATAATAAAAGACTACTTCACTAGATTAGGCAAGCCTAAAATAATTCAGTAGCATGATTCTTTTGTCGAATGACCATCATTCTTACACAGTATCTACTTTTACAACGTTTATTTATCTCTTTGGTTTGGGAGCTACACCTAGTTGTGTTCAGGGATCACTCCTGGTGATGCACAGAGAATCATATGTGGTAACAAAAATCAAGACAAGGTCTGCCACAAGGCAAGTACTATCCCTCCAGTATATTTAATTGAAACCAAATTAAGTTCATAAAAAGGAGAAGGAAAAAAAAAATCTCTCCTCTATTCAAATAAAACAAATCAGAAAAGTAAAATTTAGAGGAAAACGGTTTAGCAAAAGGAAAGAGAGAGGGGTTGGAGTGATAACACAGCAGGCAGGGTGTTTGCCTTGCACGAGCCCAACCCAGGTTCGATTCCCAGCATCCCATATGGTCCTCAGAGCACGGCCAGGAGTAATTTCTGAGTGCATGAACCAGGAGTAACCCCTGTGCATCACTGGGTGTGACCCAAAAAGAAAAAAAAAAGGGAAAGGAAGAATGTTCAGGAACAAATAAATTATTTAGTGTATAAATCAATTTTACATATTAATGAATTAATATATATTAAATATGGTGACATTTCCCTTCACTGAATCTCAATCAAATAATTACCAAATCATCATGATTTTCTTGAGCACCCTCAGAATTTGTACTGATGGCATCTGGAGAGTTTTCACCAAAATTCACGATGTTTACACTGGCATTTTCACTCTCTGCTGGACTCTGGGAACTTGTAGTTGAGTTCTTCTTAATGCCTCAAATAATATAAAAGTAGACTAATAAAATGTTTTATTTAAGATCCAACTAGTGTTACATTATTAAAACAAAAATGGAGTGTCCCATCCCTTCAATATTTCCTTGAGGCCTACCCTTTGAAAACAATAAACAAAAACTTAAACTGCAGCTAAATAACAATAACAAGAAACCTCCCATAGCAAAAGCTGAGAGGTAAAGGCCCTACCTTCCCGACTGAAGGGGTAAGTGGGATTCTACTTCCACAGCTTCAGTCACTATCTAATCTTTCCTACACATGTATTTTTGCTGTTCTCCAGCAAAAGTTCTCCATGACAAAAACATTAAAAATATTGTGGTGTGTGTGAAAACTAGTTAAGAGCTGGTACAGGGTGAGTGATTATGTGATTATTCATAAAAATCTATGTATAGGTGCTAGCAAGATAAGAGAGTGAACAGGGCTCTTGCCTTACTCCGATCCCATATGGTGGGGCCCTACGCACCACTAGCAGAGACCCCTGAGAGCAGAGCCAGGAATGAGTCTGCAGCACTGTCAGGTGGGAACCCCCCCAAAACCATAATATATACATACGTGTGTGTGTATACAACACACATGTATAATACATACAAATATAGATACTTGTATACACATAGGTACAAAATACACTTGAAAAGGCCTGGAAACAAATACATGCATATTTATAGCAAAAGTTGAAGGTAATTACTTCCAGAGTAGGGAATCATATCAAAGGCAAGATATACAGTTGTACTAAAGTGATATCTTCAATTCTTTTGTTTGGTTTTGGGACATCTGGCAGTGCTCAGAGGTTACTCGTTGCTCTGTACTCAGGGACCACTCCTGGTGGTACTCCAGTGACCATATGGAATGCTGGGAATTGAGCCCTGGTCAGTTGTGTGCCAGGCAAACGCCCTACCTGCTATACTACCACTCTAGTCCCATATCTCCAATTTTTACTCTAGATTTGTCAAAACTTTCATTTTAAAAATCTAAATGTTTTTTGTGTGTGCGTGTATGTGTATTTGTTTTGTTTTAGGGACACACTGCAGTGCTCAGTGATCACTCCTGATGGCACTCTAGGGACCATACAAGATGCCAGTGATCAAACTCCGATCAGCTGAGTGCAAGGAAGACATCCTGACTACTGCAATATCTCCCTGGCCCACCATCTCTCCTTCCAGCTCCCTCCCTTCCTCTCTCTCCCTCTTCCCTCTCTCTCTACTCCACTCTCCCTAACCTCCAGCTCTTTCCCTTCCTTTCTCCTCCAACCCTCCTGCTCTCTCTCCCTCCAGTTCCCTCCCTTCCTCTCTACCCCCTCCCCCATTATTACTAAGGTACCAGGATTTACACAGCATTGTTACTATACTTTTCATGCAGACATCATCAGAGTGCCCACAACTCTCCACCAATATCCCAAGGCTCCTCCCAGCCACCACCACTCCCATATAAGCTCATTTTTTAGATAAAAGACTCCAGTCCCAGTACATTTGGTTAGTTGTTTTCCCTTACAATATTCTTTGTATCTCATATATAAGAGAGATCTTTTAAGATCTTTGAAGACGTGTAATAAGACAACAAATACACATGAATACAAATATACATATAACTTATAGAATAAATCTCTAGAATGTGGAGCTTTGGGTTATTTTCCAAACAACAGTTACCTGTATTTTCTAAGTTTCCTAAACTGAATGAGTTATTTTCATTATTTAACTTTTGTAAATAAAAAGAAAAATCACTAATAATTTTTTGGGAATAAGTATGGATGTTTTCTACAAGACCACTATTGGTGAAGTGTATTTTGACCACTTCACAAACGAAATCCTGTTAAGTTAGAATTTTAAGATCATTAAATGATCTTAAATGATTAAATGAGGCTCCAGGGAGATAGTACAATGGGTAGGATGCCTGGCTTGCATGAGGCCATCCCATGTTCCATCTCCAATAACCCATATGGTCCCCTGAGCCCCTCCAGGAATGAGCCCAGAGCACAGCAAGGTGTGGCCCAAAAACTAAACAAAACAAAAATTGCAAAGGAAGGCTGGAGACATAGGCCAAAAGACTGAGCACATGCTTTGTATATAAGAGGCCTGAATTCAAGCCCTGAGATTCATACAATGTCCCTGGTACCACTGGGGAAAAAATCCTAAGCACAGATGCCTGAACAATCCTTGGCCACAAAATAATCAAAAACATAAAGGGGTCAGGGAAACCAGGCTACAGAGCAAACTGTGGCTCTTAATTTCTTAAATGACCCATATCAGGTCATAAAATGCTAGTGTACCTTCTGCATTTAAGAAGTAGGGTATGCTGGGAAAGAGATTGCTATGAGTAGCCTATACTGAGGCTGAACTGCGGATTTTTATCTGCATACGGCAATCATTTCCAAAGTCTAAGGAAGCAGTATAGCATCCTGGTTGGTTAAAAGCAGTGGCTCTTGTTGGGGGTGGGGCAAGAAGAGTGGGGTTGTGACTGAGTGGTAGATCACTTGCCTTCCAAATATAATACCATGGGTTCGGTCTCTGGCACTGCAGTAGAGACAGGGAGCAGCTTATGGCTTTGAGTCAGACTGAGTCAAAAATCTGTTCGAATTACTTCCTGGATATATACAAATTTCCATAAGCTTCAGCTCTTGAATCTAAGTACCACGTTAGAGTAAAGAGTTAGCTGAGTACCCTTATTCTGACTTGAATGTGAAGAGTAAGTTTGATTAAAACTGGCCTTGTCTGTGTACTTGTTTTGCTTTGTTTTCTTTCATTACATTACATACATGTATGAATATTAATTTCTAGTAATGTTACATGTGAGCGAGATCAGTGTTTGTCTCTATAATATGAATTCTTAAACTCATGCGTTTTTACCTTTTTCCAAACATCTGTGACTCCCACTCCCATCACTTTCTAGTAGCTGTTTTCCCAGAATCATGCTATTAAGTGAAATGGTATCCAGGGAGATATGGGAGGAGCTTCTTTTCATAGGCTTATAAGGACAAAGTGGAGGCAGGTTGGGTGGGCAACGATCCTTAGGTTTTTCACTGTTAACAAAATTATTAAAAAATCATCACTTACAAGGAAAGTAATTTTTTAGTAAAAAGACTTTAGAAGTCAGAGAGTAGAAGGGTCAGAGTATATGTCTGCTTTGCATGCGATCAGCCAGGTTCAATCCCAGGCACCATATATGGATCCCTAAAATATACCCAAGAATAGTCAGGTTTGCCCCCTCAACCCCAAAATGAACTTTCAACAAAACTTAAATATGTAAATATAATTTTAAAAATCACTTAAGTTCAAAATTTATTGTAGTTTTCCTGCTAAAATGCTTATTTTTCTGTGCTACCTTAACAATGTTTAGATATATATATTTTTTTACTTGTTTAGGTATTTTTGATCATTGATGTTTTGCCTAAAATCAAAATATACACAAAACAAGAAACAACCGAAAACTGTGATAGAATGTAGTTACCTTAAAGATGATTGTGGTTTAAGTGTTCTTACTGTGGACACTTCTTTCCTGACTTCCAGGTTCTCAGAAAGTGATACCGTTTCTTCGGCCTCAGTAATGGACTCTATGGCTTCATTTCCTTTACCAGTTAAACTAAGTAACTGCTGATCACCATCATTGTCAAATGACAGTACACTTGAATCTTCTCTGATGCTTGAGACAATATTTGAATCTGTATAAACTGAATTCTTATTACATGTTTCTGATACTTCTTCTGAATCACGTTTGCAAACATTCCCACTAGTTTCATCTTCTCTTATTTTTTCTAAATTTTTATCTGATAAATTCAGAAAAGCACCTTTTTGCAGATTTGTATCACTAGCTGATTTCAAAAGTAAAGGATCCTTCAAAGGGACATGGCTAAGATCAACACTCATTGATCTGTTATCTGACAAATGGTTAGCAGTTACACTTCTAATTTGATCTGTAACACTTCCAACTGGTTTCCTCTTAGAAGCCAAAAATTCTCCATTTTCTGTAGGCAAATAATCAGGAACCATTGAGCTCACACTTTCAGAAGCAGGAGACTTCATAGCATTTGCATAACCCACTGGGTGTAGTAAAAGAGCTACTTCTGCACTTTTCAGTAAAATTCCAACGCAAACGGATGTCTGACTAGCAGGATTGCCAGTCACAGCTTCTACATCTTTTCTTAAGTTCTCTGAAAGCAAAATGAGGGATTCATGAAGGAACAGCAGGAGCAGATACTGGTAGTGATTAATCTGCATACTGACATGCTTATGAATCTGAACTAGGACATGAATATCTGCATCTGAAGAGGAAGAGGAAAATCTTACAAAATTCTCTGAAGGTTTCTGACTACCATTTGTCAGGGGCTCAGACTCTGTACTATAATATTCCTTCAAGAGCTTTTTCCGCTTCAATCGACCAGACAGACCACTCGATTCACTCTGAGATGTGTTAATAGATGCTTGGTTACAAGTCTGAAGCTCTTCCTGTGACACCGCATACTTGGTTGGTTGACAAATCCAGACGGAAAGAGGGAAAGAGTCTATGAAACTTACTGGTCGCCCTTTCCCACTTTTTGTACCTTCATAATCTATCCAAAACTGAGAAAAATACACAGCCCATACATCTGTGGCAGCAGAAGCTTTAAGAGTATTTTTGTTTAACTTGGGAATGATATTTCCTTTATAAACTTCATGCATTTTGGTATCTTGTTCATGAGCGTGTCTCTGGAAGATTGGATGCAAAAGATTAAAATTGTCACAAGATTTTGGAAAGCAGGTGTATGTTTTACTAAAAAAATCACATTCTTTGAAGTCTTGAAACAAAGCTTCTAGATCAGAATGACGACAATTTGGACAGTGTCTTGTATTTGTGGCAATTATTTCAGAACTTTGAATAGAAATTGCACGTGGCTGATCTTTATGGCATTCAGATTTCATTTCAGAAGGAATGACAAACTAGAAGGAAAAATCATAAACAAATTTACAAATTCATACACCTTGAAATAAAATAATCAAGAACATGACTTAGACTCAGGAATTTTTTTCTGACATTTTCTTCTACACTATTACTTCCCTACTTAGATAAAAATCTCTAACATTCTATTCCTAAGTTTTTTTTTTAATTAAACCAAGTTAAAAAAAATTCCAGTGATTACCCACCAAGAAAAACTTATAAAGCAAACATAATCACTAATGTATATAACATGTATGGGATTACAGCATATCACAGAATAGAAAAGAACAAAATTGAATTGAATCAGTGTTACTAAACGCTTACCAATGTCCTGAGTCAGGCAATGTCCTGAGTCAGAACCTGAGAACTAGTAAACAAAACTGAACTGAACATGGTGGGCACTTGTGGGGGGTTTTGGGGAGACTGGGACAACCAAAGTAATAATTAAAAGAAAATAAGAAAAATAAAAAGTATCAAGTTTGGAAAAGAATTTTTTTTGTTATAATACATGAAATTCTGGTAATTGGATAAATATTCAAATGATGCACAAATGTATTAGAATCATTTTCTGGGATAAGAATTATTAGTAAGCTGGGCCAGAGTGATGGTACAGGGGTAGGGTGCTTGCCTTTCATAGGGCTGACCTGTGTTCAATTCCCAGCATATGAACTATGGTCTCCCAAGCCCTGCCAAGTGTGATCCATGAGCACAGAGCCAGGAGTATGCACTGAGCACTGCTGGATATAAGCCCCAAATTAAAACTTATTAATAACCTTAGAGGTATAGGCAGAAACAATTTCCACAAACAACAAATCCTTACTACTACAAATATCCACTTCAAAGTCCAAAATGGTTTTAAAACCATTCAAGCTCAGAAAGTGCAAAAATTATTTTAAAATTTTTAAAAGAATAATTATATGACTAGATAGGTAGTATAGCAGGTAGGGTGCTTGCCTTGCACAAGGCCAGCCTGGGTTCAATTGGAGTTCCAGGTGGTCCCCAGCCCTGCCAAGGAGTCATCCTGAGTATGGAGCCAGGAGTGATCTCTAAGCACCGCTGGCTGTGGCCCCAAAATCAAGAAATAAAAAAATTTTAAAAAGTATAATAGTAAATATTACAAACTAGAACCCTTTACTTGCTCCTCAGACCCAGTCTCCTTTGAACATGTCTCCCACTTGCCTGTCTCTCTGTATCTTTGCTTTGCTTCCAACTCCTGAGAGGCCCATGTTCTCTCTTAATGATGTCCCTTTCTTTCTATCACCTAAGATCTTTCTATATATGTTTCATTCAATAAAAACTATATTGCTTCACACAAACACACACACACACAAAAAAAGTAAGGCCTTTTAACTGATACTCCAAGATCTTTGAGGATACTTCAAAAGATCACTGCAGGGGTGGAGTGATAGCACAGTGGGTAAGGCATTTCCCTTGCACGTGGCCAACCTGGGTTCAATTCCCAGCATCCCATATGGTTCCCTGAGCACCGCCAGGATAATTCCTGAGCACATGAGCCAGGAGTAACTCCTGTGCACTGCCCGGTGTGACCCAAAAAGCAAAATAAATAAATTAAATTTTTTTTTAAAAAATGCTAGTACAGTAGGTAAGGTGTTTGCCTCGCATGCAGCCGACCTGAGTTTGATTCCTGCCACCCCAAATGGTCCCCAAGTCTACCAGGAATGACCCATGAGCATAGAGCCAAGAGTACATCCAGAGCACCACCAGGTGTGGATCCCAAACCAAAAACAAAATAAAACATTCCTGCACTGTAAACTGAGCACTATTAACCTCATTTTACAAAGAAATTAAATGTATGTAACTTTAGTCTCCAGGAATAGAAGTAAAAACAGAAACAGTCATTCACATCAAGCTGTCAAACTATAGACACTTGCCATAGCAAGTATTATGCTAGATGCGTTTTAAATATACATGGAATTTATATTAACTACATAGTTAAAATTAAAGGGCAAGTAAATAAATAATACCCATATATAACTTACAAGCTTTACTACACTGCTTAGAATTTTTCTTTCAAAGGATTTATTTATTTAGGTTGTTATGGGAGCCAATGGATACTGTGCTGGGGCACGGGGAGAGGTTGGGTGCATGCAGTGTCGAGGTCATGTGTACCACTGGATTCACATCACTGGCCCCTAGTCACGCTTTTGGAAACATCATTTCTGGTAAGAAGTAAGGGGGTGAGGGGGGAGAAGACTGCTTTTACTTTTATTAATCACCAGCAAATGAGTGAAAAGTAAAATAAATAAAAGGGGGAAAGGAAGGTAGAGAAGGTAGGGAAGGCCTCTTAATGCTACTGTATTTGAAGATCAAAATCAAAACTGAAGGGCTGGAGAGAGTGTGCCAGGGAAAAGGCACCTGCCTGGCATGCAGGAGACACAGGTTCAAGCTCTAGCACCACATATGGTGCCCTGAGTACCTGCAAGGGGGTCACTCTAGAAACAGCCAGGAATCATCCTGTGGACTGCTGGCTGTGGCCCAACCCTCAAGTCCCAAATAAAATGAAATTTCACTATAAAAATTAAGACTGTGGTTATGTTGATTCAAATGAACATCTATTGCAAATTCTGAAAATCACATTTTTCTATGCAAAACAACTTCCTGTTGAAAAACAGGGGACTGGAGATGTGTCAAACAATAGAGGGACTCTCGGTCTTGGATTACAAAACCCAGCTAGAATGTTGAGCAGGGGTCACTGTCACTGTCACTGTCCTCCCGTTGTTCATCGATTTGCTCGAGTGGGCGCAGTAACATCTCCATTGTGACAACTGTTACTGTGTTTGGCATATCGAATACGTCACGGGTAGCTTGCCAGGCTTGCCGTGCGGGCGCAGGCAAGAAACTCTCGGTAGCTTGCCAGGCTCCCGGAGAGGGGCGGATGAATCGAACTCGGGTCAGCCGTGTTGGCCGCTTGCAAGGCAAATGCCCTACCCGCTGTGCTACCGTTCCAGCCCGTTGAGCAGAGGTAGGAGGTGGGAATGAGGGGTGAAGTTGGTCTGGGGATATTGGGTAGAAGAGTTGGGCATTTTGGTGGTATGAGGTGCAATAAACTGTGTTATGAGATCAGAAGTATTAATTTTAATTAATTTTTTTAAAGTTTTGCTTTCAAAGTCATTTGTACCTTTAGCATTAAACCATCAACTCGAACATCAACATGCTCATCAGATTTTGAATTGTCATTCAATTTGTACACAGTCATAAACTGATTAAGACTTTGTTTTAAATCCAACAGAAACTGATTTAACCAGAGAATACTTCTTTCATCCACAGTAAACTGTAGTGCATTCAGCTGGCTATAAAGGTTTGGAGATGGAACTGTGGAGAAAAAAAATTTTAAGACATTTTTAATGAACAGATAATTCTAAATCTTCCCTGAGAAAAGACATTTAAGACAAGTTTTTATCTTTCTTAATTTATATTAAAAGTTTCAAAGTATTATTTAAGAAATTAAGGTGTGGATAACATCTTTTACATTTAGATAAACTTATTTGTATATACACTGATTGAAAAAGTTTAATCACAAACTAACAATATACAGGAAGCACTGTTTAGTTTCTATTTCTTAATGTTATACACACCAAGAAGCAAGTATCAAAAATCTTTACCTTCTTGAAATACCATATTAAATTTGTGGTCCTTATCCACATATTTTTCTAAGGACTTTACTACTTGACTTTGACTCCTTATAATGAGAGAAACCAAGTCTAATGTTAATTTCTTATGAAAATAGTATGTTAGGCAGATATCCTTAAGAAAAAAAAGACAATATCTGGCCTTATTCTGTACTTAACCTACGAGTGCCTGCTGAAAGGCAAAACTTAAAGTAACTCCTGAATAATCAAACACACACTTTTTCAAAATTCTTTCCAAATTAAAAGAAATGATCCTAAGCACAGAGCCAGGAATGGCCCTGAGTAGGGCATGACCCAAATCCGATCCCCAGAATGTACAGGATTGGATAACTTTTAATGCCAAATTATATTAACATTTGTGATTAGATCATACACCACATAAACTTACATATATCTATATCACAGGTCTGCCAAATTTTAGTGAAAATCTTTTATTCCAAACTTTTATGTGTATTTTACATGTTTCTTTTGCTGCTGCTGTTTTGGGCACCCATTAGAAATTCCTGGTTCTGTAGTCAGAAATATGTGGGCAGGCTTGCTCTTCAAGCCAACATCCTCCCTTGAACACATATCTTACTTGCTTATCTATGTCTCTTTGCTTGCTTATTTCCACTCTGGAAATATTTTTACTTTTGTTTTCTCTCTTGAACATATTTCCCCTCCTTCTTTCCTCTTACATCTTTCTAAGTCAGTTTCATTCAATAACAGCTACCTTGTTTCACTTAAAAAGAAATATGTGAGCATCTGTGGTGACAGATAATGAACTGTGGTCAGCTTGCAAACAAGCAACTTACTGACTGTACTATCTCTCTCCAGGCCCCAAAGAGTAATCTTTTTTGGTTCTTTTCGGTATAAGACTGTGCTCAAGGGTTACTCCCAGCAATGCCAGAGGAACTACTCGGTTCAGAAATTGAAGGAAGGGCCTCACACATTCAAAGCAAGTACTGTACCACTAAACCACACTTCTAGGCCCCAAACTTGTATTTACTTCTACCAAGGAAAAAGTATGCATTATCTAAAACATGAAGACCACATTAATTTAAGGAAAATAAACTCAAGGTGTGGATAACAGTAGAGAAGACGGCAATAATATCCTGAATACATATTTTATTAACATTCATTCACTTTCTTTCAGAAAAGATCCACTGAATACCAACTTCATTTTGTACATTGTGTTAATAAGTTTGAATAAAAACAGGATGAATCTAAAAAAAAAAATGTTCATGACAGCCACAGGATAATCTGCAGGAAAGATAACTTAGATCGCCTGAGGCTGGCTTGGGTCCAATTTCCTGCACCCACCACAAATGGTGTGGCCCAAATCCCTACCTCCAATTTTTTCTTAAAAAATTCATGAACCATAGAAGCATTCAATGGGTTACATCGAGTGTAATTTAAAAGCAGGAAGCCTGGATTCAACTGCTGGGAGGGAAGAGTCCCTTGAGCAACTCCAGGGCCTCTGAACAGGGAGCAGCCCCTAAGCACCACTAGACACAGTCTCCAAAAAGTCCAAAATGATACACAGCTAAGTATAAGCAAGCTGTACAAGGAAATGTAGCTCCTACCAAGCACCACAAGAAAGATGTCTGAGTGTACAGGGGGTGCAACCCCCACAGAGCACGTGTGTGACTATCACATCAAATCCAAGAGGACGCAGCAACCAAGTTTTTATGAGCAAACATGCAGCTCAATGAATGTGACCCCCACACACAAACACACATTCCTGCAAGTACCACAACCCAGTATGTGCAACCTTAAGCATCACAACAAGAGCAACAAAGTGAAAAGAAGGGGGGGAAAATGTGTTTAATAAAAGGTTGTTGGGGGCTGGAGCAATAGCACAGTGGGTAGGGCGTTTGCCTTGCACGCAGTCGACCTAGGTTCAATTTCCAGCATCCCATATGGTCCCCTGAGCACTGCCAGGAGTAATTCCTGAGTGCATGAACCAGGAGTAACTCCTGTGCATCATTGGGTGTGACCCAAAAAGCGGGGGGGAAAACAAAAGGTTTTTTTAATTAAAAACTGTTGAAGCATTCAGTACTCAAGACATCTTTTTTATTGTGGTGCTTGGTAGGAGCTGCAATTAGTTACACAGCCTGCATGTACTTGGCTGTGTGCCATTAAAAACTGGAATTTTTAATTTAAATTTTAAAATAAAACTACTGAATTTAAAATTAAAATTCACATTGACAATGGCAGCCACAGAGAAGACTAAAAAGTAAATGGGAGTTCTCAGGGCTCGACAGAAGGAAAGCAAAACCCCAGCAGGAATCTGTGACAGGAAGGAACCTGGAGCACTACACTGCAGAAAGGGTGGTGTGCAGCAGCAGCAGAGGTCTACTGAGGAAGCATCGTTAGGCAGATGCTCAGAAAGACCTTACCAATGAATATGGAGAAACCTGGAACACTGCGGATCATTAAGGGATAAGAAAAGGACGCAAATCAAATGTGTAAAAGAAATATACAGGAATATGAGCAACACAGGGGGCCCAACCAGCACTGCCTCCTTATGCCTTTGCACTGAAGCAACTGTCGGTTTGGCTGAGAATTGCTGATAGGACCCCTCTTCCTCTGGAGCAGGTTCCCCAAAATAAATAAAAAACCAAACTAGAAATACCATACTATTATGATCTGAACTTTGTCTCCTCAAAACTGATTAAAGTGAAGTTCAATCCCAAAATACCCCCAGAATGTGATGGCATTTGGGTTAACTATTGGTAAAACAAGTTCATGAGGGTCTTTGTTCTACATGGTTCCACGAGAGAAGATTAGGACACACACACAGAAAAGACCAGGTGATGACAAAGGACATAAGGCAAAGACAGCCTTCTCCAAACCAAGAAGAGGAAATAACTCAAAGGAAATAACCTGCTGAGCCTCTGACCTGGCTACTACTGCCTCCAGAACTGTGAGGAATAAAAGATTTTTTAAATTACCCAGCTTGTATTTTCTTTTTTGACAACCCTAGTAAATATACATATTTAAGCAAAAATTCTCTCTAAATCATAAGCCTATGGGGTAATACTTTATTTTTGAAATTTCAAAAATACAACAAGCATATGCTATTAACTATAAATTTTACATGGGGGAAAAGTTTCTTTAAGTTTGGCCACTTAATAGAGAGCTAAAGAAATGTGAAAATTAAACCACTGATCGATGTACGTGGGAATTCAATATATTATCCCATTACTTCTACAAACATCTGAATTTTCCAAATACAAAATAGAAAGTAGTTATTTTGCTTTTTGCTTCTTTTTTTTTGGGGGGGGGGCTTTTGGGGTTACACCCAGCGATGCTCAAAGGTTACTTCTGGCTCTGCACTCAGGAGTTACTCCTGGCAATGCTCAGGGGACCATATGGGATGCTGGGGATCAAACCCGGGGTCAGTCAAATGCAAGGGAAAAATGCCCTATCCACTGTACTATCGCTTCAGTCCCTAATTTAAAATAGCTTAATATGATCTAGCTATCTGGGGGCCTAGGCTTAAATTGCTATGGAAAAAATTTTATCAGAAAATACGTATTATGGGGGCTGGAGTAATTGCGCAGCAGATAAGGAGCTTGCCTTGCATTTGAGCCCAACCAAGAGTGATCTCTACACACACAGACAGGTATAAGCCGTGAACACCAAACACAATAGACCAAAAAGCCAAACCAAACAAACAAATAGCAGAGAATATATTATGTAACAGGATTATAATCCCTTTTGTACATATGATAAAACTAACAGAATTCAACCAAAAGCCATGTCCTACCACTGACTCCACATAAGATCATCTACCAGCCTTGTTCCAGAGACTGAAATCTCAAAAGCAATCACCTAGCCATAAAAATCTTGCAGATGTCCGTTCTAGCTGTGACCTCCTGGGGACTCTAGGAAGGGGATAGGTCAGCTCCAGCCTAAAGAAAGCCCTCACAACAGTTCCCACACCCCAAAGCCACCTCCATGTCTCAAGCCAGACTCCACTGCCTCAAGACTGAACTTTAGAGAGAACCGAATTTGCTGAAAACATCAGGTACATGGGTCGTAATGGCTGAAAACTCCGGGCCTTCTTGGAGTCATGATGGCGCCCTCCCCCCATACCCCCTCCTATTTCTGCAAGTCCAGTAGCCATGCCCATGAAACACCACTGCTGTCATGTAAGCTTATCTACCAGCCCTGTTCCAGAGATTCAAATAAATCTCAAAAGAGAGCAAGTAGTTATGAAAATTTCTCGGACCCCTGTCCCTAGATGAGACCTCCAGAGCATTCTTGAAGGTGGGCAGTCTAGTTCCCACCCAAACAAAGCTCTGGCAGCTGCTCCCACACACCAAAGCAGAATGCCCAGTTAAAATTTAATTCCAGCTAGACTGCCCAGTTAAAAAGTATAGTCAAAGTGACATCTGCACTTGTTTGTTCATTGCAGCACTCTTTACAATAGCCAGAATCTGGAAAAAACCTGAGTGCCCGAGAACAGATGACTGGTTAAAGAAACTTTGGTACATCTACATAATGGAGTACTATGTAGCAGTTAGAAAAGATGAAGTAATGAAATTTACATACAAGTGGTACTACATAGAAAGTATCATGTTAAGCGAAATGAGTCAGAAAGAGAGGGATAGACATAGAAAGACTGCATTCATCTGGGGAACATAAAGTAACAAAATAAGAGACTAACACCCAAGAATAGCCGAGATCAGTACC